TTCTTTTATGGCCTTTCTTTTAAGGTCTTGCAACTTGCTTTGACTTTTGCTCCAGGTCTCCGGTGATACTAACTGAGCCATACCAGGTTTTAAGAGTCAAATCAGGATTTCTTTTTCTACTTTCACAACCACCATCCTACAAACATTTGTGTTAGCATAGTTTGTAAGAGCAAAAAATGTAACATTTACCTAATCTTTATCAACAGTGAAAGATAAATAATATGATCCCATTTTATTCAATCTATTTAGTAGAATACTGCACAATACAGATAAAATGTTAACACTTTTAAATAACAAAAGCTAGAGAAAAATACGTTAAGTATCCAACATATGCAAGTTTTGGAAGACCATACCAAATAAAGCTATGTATTATTTATGAGTCTGAAGCAAATCTTAGCTGCAGATAATCAAGTTTATACTGTTCTTTGAGCTTTATATCTGAATACTTTATAATAAAAATGTGATGTACACAAACCTTTTAAAAGAAACAGATCACATGTCTCAGCCTGTTTTGTGTTGCTAAATAGGCTGGGCAATTTATAAAGAGATTTATAAATTTATTTCTTACAGTTCTGAAGGCTGGGAAGTCCATGAGTATAGCACTGGCATCTGGCAAGGCCTTCATGCTGCATCATCCCATGGTGGAAGGCAGAAGGTAAGAGAGGATGAAAGAAAGAGGGAGAGAGAAAGGGGGCCAAACTCATCCTTCTTATCAGAAACTCACTACCACAATAACTAACCCACTCTGGTGATAACAGCATTAATCCATTGATAAGGGCAGAGCCCTCATGACCTAATTATCTTTTAAAGTTCCCACCTCTCAACATTCTTGAATTAGGGATTACATTTCCAATACATAAACTTTTGCGGACACCTTCAAACCATAGCAGCAGACTTACAGCGAAATACTCCTTTGGTAGCCTTAGCTCTGATTTTGTAATTTTCTTTTCTTTTTGTGCTTAGGAAATGCATCAATCAGCATGATGGCCACAGCATCTTTACAGCCTGTTTAGTTTACTATAGTTTTCATGGGCTTAAGAAGAATACCAACTTGTCTAATCATGAAATTGTGAAAAATTTAAACATAATAAACTTCCTACATTCTAGAACTTCTCAGCAAATGTGTTAAGTTAGCTATGTCTAGCCTCTCTTTGCACATCACTGTTTATAAAACATACCCTTCTCTGCTAGCCTCACCAACTTCAGCAGCAAAGTTCTTTCAAAATATAATAAATATTGAATAATGTTATTGGCCTTTAGTTCCTAACGTGATTTCTTTTCTCTTATTGCCTACACATCTTGTTTCTGGACAATATCACATTTATTCCTTTGTTACTGGGCACAGTAGCCAAAGGTGGTTTGAGCTGTCCTCACATCTTGCTGAGCTGAGCGTCTTGACTGTAGTCACAGTGGCCTCTCTTCTTCAGGCTAATAATGCTATCCATTTCTTGATCTGGGAAGTTCCCTCACAACTCATCTGCCCCTTCATCCTCTGATGATCATCTTGAAATAAACTCACATCCTCCCTTTTTATTCTACACACTTGAAAAAGTTCTATTTAAAAATATCCTCTGCTAGCCACATTTTCTTATTCAGATGTTCTGTTCTTCATTCCAAGTTAAGTCCACAAGCATTTTCTTTGGGCCATATAATTCTTGCCTTGCATTATCCTGTCAATACCTTCTCCAGCCACTGAAATTTCTCTCATTAATTCTTTTACAGCATATTCACCCAACACACACCAGAGCAGCACTGCCTAAGAAAATCCTGTCTCTTGGGGGAATAAATATTTTAGTTGAGATACTGAAATATTAACTTGCCCCCAGGCTCCCAGCTCTTTTCTAAATAGAGATTTAACAATAAACAGTGGTCGAACTAATGCTTAGAAACGACCTTGTTATAGATTCTCAACCAGACAGTAGTCACCAAGAAGCACTCTGACAAACTGCACTGTGATAAACTGTTTTATTAAGAATTGGGAACTATACTGTTAGGATCTCAAAGAAGAAAATCTAATTCCCTAAGAAATTCAGAAGAGACAGACACACAAAACAAATTACAATAAAATGTGGTAGGTACATCAATAGATGCTTGTATGCATGAATTCATTCATCTCTTGGTTATCTATTCTGTGCTAAGAAGTAGGGATACAGTGGTTAACAAAAGGAAGAAAGTCTCTGCCCTAAAGAAACTCACATTCCAGTGGGAGGTGGGAGTGGTAATAGGCTGAATACTTTCCAGTATTTAATGAGAAAAATATGAATGAGATAAAATAAGAGATAGTACTTGGCATTGACCAAAATAGTGCTGAAAGGTGACAACTGGTCTGAGAGGCCTGAGAGATGGCAAGCAATCAGTCAAGTAAGAAGTTATTCCAGTCCCAAAGAAGACAAATGTCATACCTTGAGGCAGGCCCAGGCATCGCAGAAATCAGCTTAGTGTGTCTAGGGTAGGAAGGCCAGGTTGAAACATACATGTGAAGGGAGAGCTGAAAAAGAGAAAGGCAGCAGCCAGATCCTTCAGGCCACAGTAGGTCAACTATGGAGTGGGGAGGCAATTGGTTTCAGCCAGAGAGCTACATGATTTGATTCCTGGTTTATGTAAGAGATCCTGTTGGCTGCTCTGTGGATGAAAATCTGGAGTGGAAGCAAGCAGGCTAGTTACGAGGATTCTAAGGTATCAGATTAGAAATTATGGTCGCTTTAGAAAAAAAGAAGAAATAGTAAATGATGGTAGCTTGGATGAGGGTGCTGGCAGTGGAAACGGAGAAAAGTAGATGGATGTAGCACACATATCTGCTGTTGGAATCGATAAGACTTATGGATTGATTGGAAGGGACTGAGAAGGTCTTAAAATGAAACAATGGTATCATAGTTCATCTCATTCTGCAGGGTAGAGAAGCATCTCAGGGAACACAGTCTCAAAGAGGTAACATTTAAGCCCAATCTTAAAAGCAAGTGTGAAAAAAAAAAAAAGTGTTGGTGAGGACGTGGAGAAATTGGGACCCCTGTGGGAATGTAAACTGGTGTACCCACTGGAAAATGGTATGGCAGTTCTTCAAAAAATTAAACACAGAATTACCCCATGATCAAGCAACTCCTAGGAACTCAGATATTTGTACCCTTCTATTCATAGCAGCATTATTCACAATAGCCCAAAGGTAGAAGCACAAGTGTCTTTCAATGGATGAACAGGTAAACAAAATGTGGTATATACAGTTGACCTTTCACATTCGTGGGTTCCACATCTGTGGGTTCCACCAACCACAGATCAAACAAACCACATCTGTACTGAACATGTAGACTTTTTTCTTGTCATCTCTTAAACAATACAGTATGACAACTATTTACATAGCATTTACATTATAATAGGTAACATAAAGAATCTAGAGATGTTTTAAAGTATCCAAGAGGATCTACATAGGCTATATGCAAATACTACACCATTTTATATCAGGGACTTGAGCATCCTAGGGTTTTGTTATTCACAGAAATTCCTGGAATGAATACCCTACAGATAAGGAGGGATGACTGTACATATGATAGAATATTATTTAGTCTTCAAAAGAAAATGTTCACATATGCTGCAACATGGATGAGCACTAAGACATTATATTAATTATTTTTAATGAGTAGGGATAAAGATCATAATACTTTAAATGCCCCACTAAAAAATGTCACAGTTCACACCTTGCCCACTGCATGCCTTCGTAATACTACTTCTACCTAGAATTCTCTTCTGAGAATTCATGGCTGCCTGGAGAAAACTTAACTGCTTTTCTTTTCTTTTTTAAAAATTCTGGTGAAATACATATAAAATTTACCATCTTAAGCATTTTTAAGCGTACACCTTAATGGCATTAGGTACTTTCACACTGTTGTGCAACCATTGCTACCATCCATCCACAGAACTTTTTTCATCTTGCAAAACTGAGACTTTCTGTCTCCATGAATTTACTACCCTAGGAGACACCTCATATCAGTGGATCATACAGTATTTGTCCTTTTCATTTAAAATCCTAATGCAAAACTCTGGCTTTATCAGATTCTGAAAAGCCTAGATCTCTCCTTGCCATGTTGTAGGGACAGGAAAATGTATTCATTTATTTAATAGATACCTGAACTCCTACTGTGTTTCAGGCAGTAATGACTCTGTCCTAGATGTCAGTCCAATGGTGAAGACTGACATCCACGCCTAAGGTCATAAAGTTAGTAGCTTCAGTTTTGAGAAGTGCAGTGAAGGAAAGATGCTTGGGCAAGGGACCTTGTTCTAACAAGGGAGCCTACCCTACTTGCAGAGGCCATGAGAAAAGGCTTCCCTGAGGAAACGGCATTTAACACCTAACTGATGGGTAGGAGTGAATCAGAAAAGAAGTCAGAGACCTAAGCCAGCCAGTAAGACAAAAGGGGACGGTAGAGACAGGATAGACTGGACATTTCATTGCAGCAGATAATACGTTTCTCAACCCGCAAAAATTCCCAATTAGACTCCCATACGCAGGAATCAGAGGCTATGAACCAGCATCCGAGGTTTGGTAACAGGCTTCTACTGTGTTTTCTGGACTTTTTATCTTATTGGAAAATATCTTCTTAAGTTCTTGCATTCGAAACTCACAAGGTAAAAAGAATATGCTTCCCTCTTTTTAACATGGGGCCAAAGTTTCTCTCCAAGGTCACAGCTCGTGGAAGGGGAGACTACTTTTGGAAAGATGGAACCCGGCTTGCCACCTTGTCCCTCCACTATTCCTGTTACTTTCTGTCAACCTCCCTATGAGTTTTCTACTTCTTATCTTGTAGTGTGAACAAGTCACGTGTCCGTCACTACTTGATGGGATCTTAAAGGCATCAGGAAGGAGAGGCGCAGCCGCCACCTGTTCAGGATGCAGGTGTGAGGCAGGCTGGGCACGGGCGACCGGAATGGGCACAGGAACCGCAGCCTCCACGCACCTGGAGCCTCATCCCCGGCATCTGTGTACCCACAGCCCGCGAACCCCAGCTCACCCTTCTCCTTGGTTACGATGGAGATGAGTGGCACTCGCGGGCGGTCGCTGAAGACCTCGGCCTGCTGCACCAGTGCCTCGCGGACGCTGTGGAAGTCGCTGAGGACCACCACCAGGTAGTGGCCGATAAAGAAACTGAAGATGCTGCCGTAGACGCGGGCTAGGTGAGCCAGGAGCACCTGTGGGCCCACGACCGAGGGATCAATCCCTGCGGCCCTGGTCCTGCTGCTCAGCCAGCTCCGCCGCCGGAGGAAGGGGGGCAGTAGCACGTAACCGAAGTTGCCCACCAGGGGCCAGGGCGTGGGCCCGGGCGGGATGCCCCGTGCCCGGCGCCGCCGCAGCCAGTTCCAGCCCAGCAGCGCTACGAGGCTGCACAGCAGCAGCGCGCAGCCGCTCGGGTCCAGCCGCAGCAGCCCCAGAAGGGCACGCAGAAGGCCCGTGGGCCAGGGCGGGTCCTCAGCTGGGGGCTGAGGCGGCCCGGGAGAGGACATGGTCAGGGCGCCGGCAGTCTCAGGTTCCCCTCGCTGCCCGGAGGAGACGCGCACGCAGCTGCTCGCGCCGTGGCGCCGCTATCCTGCTCTGCACTGGAAGGTCGGGGGCGGGCTGGGAGCGGAGGAGCGCGCCCCGGATTGGCTGCGCGGCGCTCATTCTCCCCGCCGCCTTCACTCAGCTAGGCCTGGGCGGAAGCTGGGGACGCGCCGGCTGCCCGGCGGAGGGGTCGGCGGACGAGCGGGCAGAGGACCTGAAGTTTGCCCCGAGGTCCCGTTACGCCCCTTTGCTGGGTCAGGCTTGGCGGTGTGTGTCCCTGAAACTAGGATGTTGGCAACACAACCTTGCGCTCCGATTGGCTGTTGGATTTCCTTGTGTCGTTCGTCAATGTCATTTGTTTGTCAGCTAACAAACGCATGGTTATCAAGTGCATAAACAGTGCCAGGATCTGTACTGAGTGCGCGAAACTGGTGAGCAGGCCCCTGAGATGGCTCGGCCTTAGCACCTGTGACCCGAGCCGGGAGAATGGGGTCTCCGGCCTATTCCCGCAGGCTTCGGTGTAGCAGTGAAAAGACAGGGTTCTTTATCCAATCTGGGATTCGCAGGACCTTTTCCTCCACGCTGAGACATCAGGATGCTGGGAAGCCTTGGAATGCAGAACCTGGAGGAGTCGGCAGCCAAGGCTGCGGAAGGGATGAGGGCGGGATTTGGGGGAACGAGGGGTGGGCAGCGAGGCAGGAGGAATCCCTTTCGGAGAGCTAGCCCTGGGCTAGAAAATTTTTATGCAAATAGCGAAAGCTGTGTCCATTCCTGCGTGTGGCCTGGGTGCAGTAGAAAATGTACTTAAATCCAGAAATAGCGAAGCCAGAATTTGCTGGGGGGATTTAAGTAGTTAGAAATATAAAAAGAAAACAACTTGTTGAGGCCGGGCGGGAATATTATTGGTGTTAAAAAGTTCAAAACTTGAAAGGCTGAGGTTGAAATATTAAATATGAATTGTATAATACTTTAAAAACAAAGTCTGACTTTATCTGATCTTCCCAGATAAGGATAATAGCTTCCCTGATAAGGGCTTCCCTTTCTGTCTTGTTGAGGCCAAATCCTGTGGTTTCTGTTTAAGTTGGGTTGAGCATAGATTATCTGTACTGGACTATTTTTCTAGCCTTTTCATTTTTTCCATACATTGAAAGTTTGAACACCACGTTGTACCTATAAAAATGTGACTGAAGAAAGCATAGTGAGCCCTCTATTTTATTTTATTTAAATAAATACATGATCCGTTTTATTTTGCTATAAACAAGTGATGCCAGTAAGATATGAATAATTTCAAGTCCACTCCGTTCTCATATTCTTTTTGACATGCTTTTCATGTTATTTTAAGTCTATGCACACCAAACAAAAAACCTCCACACCTTTCATCTTCTATAATTAACCACTATTTGTGAGACTACTTTTCTCATTTTTTTGAATTTTTAAATTGAGACTTTTTAAAAAATTTAAACTACTTGTTTGCAGACGTGATTTTCAACATGACATTCTGGATGTCATCTGATACTAGGGCTTTGCTCTCTAAAACAGTAGCCACTGTATACATCTTCCCATACAAGCAATTGAAATTTAAAAATGATTTTAAAATAATTGAAGCTGTGACTAATTTAACAACTCCAACAGCCACCCTTTTCTATTGCACAGGATGTAACTGAATATATAGTGTTTTCCTATGTCTTTCATTTTCACTAGGTTAACAGCTGTGAGGCAGATAGGAAATCTGGGCTGTATTTGGCCTTTAAAGAGGTAATTAAGCTAAAATGGAGTCCTGTGGGTGGTTCTTATCTAATAAGACTGGTGTCTAAAGGAGATAAAGACACAAAGAGGAAAGAGGATGTGAGGACACAGGGAGAAGGCAGCCATCTACAAGTCAGGAGAGAAGTCTCAGAAGAAACCAACCCTGCTGACACCTTGAGTTTTGGCTTCTGGTCTCCAGAAGGGTGAGTATATAAATTTCTGTTTAAAACATCCAGTCTGTAGTACTTTGTTATGGCTGCCCTAGCAAACTAATACAGGAAGTGATATTGTTCATAATATTATGGACACACTGTTTCACTTTAATTTTTTTTTTTTTTTTTTTTTTTGAGATGGAATCTTGCTCTGTCACCCAGGCTGGAATGCTGTAGTGCAATCTTGGCTCACTGCAGCCTCCGCCTCCCAGGTTCAAGTGATTCTCCTGTGTCAGCCTTCTAAGTAGCTGGGATTACAGGCCCGCACCACCACAACAGGATAATTTTTCTGTACTTTTAGTAGAGACGGGGTTTTACCGTATTGGCCAGACTGGTCTCAAACTCTTGACCTCAGGTAATCTGCCCACCTCAGTCTCCCAAAGTGCTGGGATTATAAGACAAGAGCCACCGTGCTAAGCTGGATATACTATTTTAAACATGAAACCACACAGTTCATTTAGTGCTCCTTAAGGATGTATTTCTCCAAATTCCATTCAGGGTGATTTTGCTACATAAAAGAATACTTTCTAATTCATTTATTTTATATAGGTAAAAATATAATAGCAGAAGCATTAAAGGAAGAGAATACTAAGAGATCTTTTGGGCAGGTAGAAGTGAGAAAGATGGTGAGAGGATTATGGGAAAAAATCATTTTTGAGACCCTAAAGATAATTTTAAACCACCCACTTTCCTACTGCTCTCCTTCTTGCTCTATATGGATTTTGGTCAGAATTGTTGGTTACAGTATATTCAAAATAGCTGAGTACTTATTTTGTTATAAAGAGTGGTGTTAAATTACTCTATTTGTAAAACAACAATTGTCCAGTTCGTTTGTAATTCTCTGGGAGGTAAATCCCACATACCACACCCATCCAGAGTCAATGAGCATGAACAGAGAGAGTGCACGGCTTGAGAAGGGTTTGCAAAATGCTAATTAATGAAAAGAGAAAGTGGAAATGTTATTAACACTATTTAGTTGCACAACTCCACTGGTCATTTAAAAATTAACACCTTGGTTTCCTTTAAGTTCTTATGATTTGCTTCATATATACTCCTTTGAGTGTCTTCAATATATGTGTTTATGAGCTTTATGTACTCTCTGAGCCTCCATGTTGCTGAGCTGAAATTGGGATAATAAATACACCTTTATCAGGCATAGGGATTAAATAAAGTAGCTAGCACAATGTCTAGCAATTAATACTCAGTAAATAAAAGCTGTAATTATAATAGTTATCTTTGGGTCCTTGATAATCGTTTAAACTTAATAGGTTGTCACTATTGCTGCCTCTTTTTTGCACCTTGCAGATTTACCAAGATTAGAATGTGATACTGGCCAGGATATTGTTTCCTATGTTTAGTCTTTATGTCTTATATAATGAATAAATAAACATGCCTATCTTCAGTGTTACCCACTTCATTCCTCTCCACTTGCATGTATTATGTATTACTTGGAGAAGAGATGAAGGGAGAAAGGCCCCTGAAGAGAAATCTAAATTTCAACATAAGGCAGAATCTCAAAGGTCATAAAATGCAATTCCCAAAACTTCCCTTTATTTGGTCAAAGTGGTGCCAGGATTAGCACACAATTTTTTATTTAACACCAAAATGATCACAGTCCAGACGTCTTTCAGTAAAATACGGGAGCAGGGGAAAGGGAAACTATGGTATATTTGATAGATGACAACACCACAATAAAAAATGAATCAATTATGACACACTCTACAGCATAAATATCAGAAAATGTGCTGAGTGAAAAAGCCAGGCACAAGAGTACATTCTGAATACCTGTGTTTATATGAAGTTCTAGAATATGCAAAATGAGCCTATGGTGATAGAACGAGGTAGATTGGCTCAAAGGAACATTAAGAAATTTTTCTAGGGTGGTAGAAATGTTCTGTATCTTGATTGAAGTGTTGGTTACTTGGATGTATGCACTTGTTAAAACTTAACTGTGTATTTCACTGTAGTTAAATTATACCTCAGTAAAACAAAAAAAGCCATTATCTTTGAGAAAAAGACATGGTGAAGTAAGCAGACTAAACAGGTTTAATTTATGAGATGCACCTTTTGTGAGGTGGGTACTCATAGGAACAGTTAGTCACTTTAGTTAGCCTGGCCACAATTGTTACCAATTCCTGACATTTCTGGCCAAAGCGTTACTGAAATCTCTGTTCCTTATTTCTCCTTCATTTACTTCCATTTACCATGCAGAACCATCCTGGAAACCACATGGTGACCTCTGCTTAAATCTGACTGGGTTGGCCAGGGTATGTTGTTAACCTTTCTGACTTGTTTGCTTCATCTGATCAGATGAGAAAGTTGTAACACAAGGATTCTAAGATTCCTCTGGTTCTAACATTCTCCTTCTTAAGTGGATTCTCAGGACTTTGACTTTGGCCTCTGATTACAGCATGCTTAATAAAATCTGAAAGAATAAATTATATTTACAATGCAGAGTATAAGCCGGTTACTTCAATAAAACTAACAAAAGGGGGCCAGATGCTGTGGCACACACCTGTAATCCCAGCACTTTGGGAGGCCGAGGCAGGCAGATCACCTGATGTCAGGAATTCCAAACCAGCCTGGCCAACATGGTGAAAACCCATTTCTACTAAAAATACAATAAAATTAGCTGGGCGTGGTGGCAGCCGCCTGTAATTCCAGCTACTCAGGAGGCTGAAGTAGGAAAATCGCTTGAACTCAGGAGGCAGAGGTTGCAGTAAACTGAGATCAGACCATTGCATTCCACCCTGAGCAAGAGAGCAAGACTCCATCTCAAAAAAAACAAAAAGACAAAAAACAAAAACAAAAAAAAAACAAGGTTGTTACCTCCTTGTGTATGTAGGTAGCTCCTTTGCCTGATAATGAAGTCTTATTTCTAAACTTCACTTAAGAATGAAGTTTTAGAAAGAAAGGACATTGAAAGTTTACTACTTCTTCTTTTAGGCAAGAACATACTCATTGCAAATGAGATATTTCAAAGCCAATATTTTATTCTCATTTTTAAAAGAGTAATACAGTTTTTGTAGAAAATTTGGAAATTCAGGAAACTATAAAGGACGAAACTATCACCTTTTTATTCTTACCAGAGGTAATATTTATAACATTTGTGAACATATCCTTCTAGTCTTATATATGTATTTCTAAACCTTATATTTCTATTTATATATTTACAAATTTATAAATATGAGTAAAATATATCATTAAAATTTTCCATGTTGTTCTCCCACAAATCCTTTTTTTTTTTTTTTGAGATGGAATCTTACTCTCTCACCCAGGCTAGAGTGCAGTGGTGTG